TTGTTCTATCATGGTGGCATTAATCTCATAAACCACGGTTGACTGAGTGTCTATCTTTGCATGGATCACTTGCAATATCTCCATCATTTGGCCCATGCTGCCTTGTATATCATCCAATTCATTATTGAATCTGTCAAACTCTTGATCTTGTTCAACCATTCTCCTTTGGGCTTGAGCTTTTGTATTGTAAGGATGTGGAGGATTCAGTGTGACCGAATGAAGGTAAAACAACACAGAAAAAGTCACAGAACAGGAGAGTGCATATGCAATGCTCATGACATGCTAATGAAAATGCAATGCTAACATTCAAAGAAAACCCAAAATAATATTTACAAACATTAATAATGGAACAAGGTAACTTTTCATTGATAAATGAAAGTTTTACAGGAACATAAATACATATCCAAAGCCCAATTATAGATTACAAGATTGAAATCGAGAGGTCTAATCTTTCTGACAAGAAGATCCTTCCCCTTCTTGAAGCTTCACCTTTCTTGTGATGTCTTCTTTCTGGTTCTGACGGAGCAGCTTCCAGAGTTCTTAGTTCTTTTGAACAATCATGAAGTGTTTATCCTCCTACATCTTCTTCTCCTTTTTAGCTTTGACTAAATCATCCTTCAATTCCTCCAGACAAAAGGGTCTTATCGGAGTTTTCGAAGTAGACTCGAAGCGAGTGTAAAACATGTTTAAGGCTATTTCTTTAGACCAAAGAGAATACGCCCTTGCAACCGTACAGTCTGGATGCCCCAGAGCAGTCGTCCCTTGAGTATTATGGTGACACCAAGCGTACTCAATTTGTGCTTTAAGATATGGGTTTCTCCCTTCTTCAAGAAAGCATCTTTCCAAAAGGACTGGATTAGGATCTTCCTTTGCAGGATATCCTAGCTGACGACGAGCTAGGATGAAGTTCTATTTAATACATCATTTTGTACCAGGAAGAGACACATTAGGGAAATCCCCACAGCTGTGAATCATGGTAACCCCCTCATACATGGGATCGTACCAACGAATATCATAGTGTCTAGGCGATAGAAGCTTTTCGGTCCAAGCAATGTTGTCCTTCAGATTCCAAGAGAGACCGTCCTTGGCAAGTGCGAAATAAACCACTTGTGAAGGAGAGCGTTACAGTAAGTAATCTGGCCTCCTCCATGAGAGTTATTTATATGAACGAAGAAGTATGCATCAGATAGCAGGGTGGGAACAGGGTTCCTGATCAGAAATAAGTTGATGGCGCTCAAGTATATGAACTCGTCGACACTTAGGAACAGAAGGAGCCCATAAATCAATAAGGCCAAGATAGCCTCAAAGATTTCTACATCTTGCTTATCAACATGAGTCTCAGCTCTTTCCATCAAAGATCTTGCTTGCAAACCAGAGAATCCATCTTTGACATCCAGATGGGTCTGAAGATCATATGGTTCTAGGCATAAGGCTTCAGCCAAGACTATCCTATTTGGTCTTCTTTCTCTCCCAGTGAATGGTTGAGGAGTGACGCGTAATCCCATTAAAGCAGAATACTCTTCCAACGTTGGTAGCAGTTGATAGTCTAGAAACGTGAAGCAACAGTAAACGGGGTCGTAGAACTGAACGAGCGCCATTAACATCTTCTCGTCTACTTAGAGCTTTAATAGAGGTAAGAGGTTTCCATACTTGTTATTAAACGACAAAGGATCTTCCATTAGGCCTCCCAGTTTTCTCAGATTGTCCAACTTTAGGCTTCTGAATGTGCATTTTAGAGTTGTTTTCTTTCTTGAGTCCATTACACTGTCTGCAAAAAAAGTTAGGGCTCCTGTGAATGTTAACAAAAACAATGAGATGCGATGCAATTGATTTTAAGAAACTCAGAAGATTGATTTGCAAAAGGAACACCTTTGGCACAAAACCTTACTTCATTAATATTGGAAAAAGCTATAACTTTAAAGTATAATACAATAGACTTATAAATACAAGAGGAAAAATACTAGGCCCTAGAGTCTCCACGAAGTCTAGCTACAAAGGTCCTATCTGCACATCCTCTTCTGTCTTTTCAACTCTACATTCTCCAATACTAGCTAGTCGACGATTCCCTTCCAAGCACCGGATATAGGTGGGATGTCAGAGTATTCATGGGTACAAAGCACAAGCTGAACACTAGAGAAAAATAAATTCTCTTATGCCACATATTTGTCAATAACCCTCATTTCAAGAAACTCAATCAAATCATTCTCTTTCAGTTGTCTTTTCATCTCCATCTGCTCAGAATGAATGACGTGGTACTCGCCCTCCCAAGTATCTCGCTCAAGCTTCAATCTAGCCAAAGTTTCTTGGTATTCCTCTATTTGCTCAACAGGAATGATAGAGAAAGAAGCGACAATAATCTACAAAGGTCTCTCTGGGAGATAAGGCATCTTAAGATCACAGACTCTGGCATGGATCCATTGCATGAAAGGCTCAAATTCTATACAATTCTTCTTCCCTAAATCAATCTTGGTCTTCTTGTGGATAGCTTTCCAAGCATCTGCGAAGCTATCTCTAAATCTCATACTAACTTATGCGTTGAGGTAAAAGAAACTTGTCAACAGGATATTGCTAGGCTTATTGACGTCTAACAAGAATATGGTTGTAATTGATTCCTTCTCATACATTGAGAAGAGGTACGTTGGGAAATGAACCACAACTGTCGATGCTCACTTCTTTATCATAAGCGGGATCATACCAATGTACATCCGTCTGAGTCAGAGCCATGAGCCTTTGAGACCACCTTAGTCCATTTGAATTTTCTTCGAAAAGATATGTCATCGGCAAATGTGCAACAAACCATGTATACAACATAAGAGCACAACATAAGATAGTCCAATCTCCTTTGAGAGTCCTATAATGAGTAAAATGGTACATATATTCAAGCAGAGTAGATACAGGATTACCAATGATGAAAATCTGAATAGCGTTGATGTCAATGAAATTTTCTTCTTCGGGGAAGAGGACCAAATCATAGATGAGCAATGCAAGGACTGCTTCAAAAGTATCTAGGCTATTTTCTTTGGGAAATAGAGCAATTTTTCTTATCATAAATTCAACAGGTAGACCTCTGAGCCCAAACTTAGAGGTGAGATTGACTTTGACTTAAGAAGCTTCTATGTGGATGACATTTGCAATGTCCTTTGATGAAGGGAACTTCTCCAAACCACTGAATGACTTTTTGTCCAATACTGGCAGATCAATGTGATATGAGTACTTTTCCAGAGTCGGGACGAGCTGATAATCAGAAAAGGTGAAACAGTGATATAAGGGGTCATAAAATTGCACAAGAGTGTTGAGAACTCCTTTTTGCATCTTGATCTTGACAAGTCCCAATAATCTTCCATATCTATTTCCAAAATCTTCAGGACAAGACACTAAGGCCACAAATATTTGATAAATTTTAAAATCACAACATTTTGTTCAAGTTTATTTGAAACTGGGATGTCTTATACCACAAACATCCCCTGAATGGACATCTCGTTATACAAAAGAAGCTGAAACATGGTTGGATAATTTTTTTAGATTAGATGGAAGAGTTTGCCAAGTTGACAAAATTTAAAGAAATTCAAATCAGAAAAAGTCAAAGGCGGAACCACCTATAGATATAAATTTAGATGACAACACATTCTTTAATACATTTTCGTTTTATCTTATAGTCCATTTTAGGTGGTGACACGTTTTTGATGTATTTTAGTTTTTTCTTACAATGCATTTTAGGCGGTGACACATATTTTTTTGTAATTAATGGTGAACTATTATTTTCAACAATGTAATCCAAATACATTTTGATGTGTTTTAATGTATATTTAAAATTACTTGCATAAAAATTGGACTTCAGGTTTTTTCTGTTAATTTGTGTGTGTGTGTGTGTAAAACTATCTATTTGCTAAAACAACTTATGTAATGGGTGAATCCAAATTTTAATATCGAGACAAATTTTATTTATTTTTGATTATTTCATATGTAAAAAGGCCACTCCAGATTTCAATATGAGGATAAACACTTACTCGTACCTAATTAAATCCATATTTCAATTTTTAGAATGTCTCTAGAGATAAGGTTGCTTTTGTATGGTTCATATTAATCTAAAACTTGTATAAATATGTCTTATATGTAGCTAACAAAAACACTTCGTATAGTCTTAATATTGGAATATCACATTTGTTTACTTTAATAACACGAGTCTTCCTTTTGAATTTAAGGTCACCAAGAACACTCATATTGTATAACTAAAATTCAAACTAGATAATATCTTGTTCACTCTCGATTGATAATGAAGAAAATGTGAATATACAAGTTTGAGTTGAAGACAAATGAAAATTTAAGAGTTATGCAAAGTACATTTCACCTTTACGCAACAAAATGTCTAATTGAGATGGATGCGACAGTAGCGAAATCGACCAACGATATTTTAAAAATGTTGAAACCTCAATCATCTCTTAATCATAAAATATTAGGTTAAATTTATGTTAACAAAAATCTATGTATTGTTACATATTTTGTGTATGTGATAACAATTATTTATGTTAATTTGTGTTCTTTTCTTCTCTTATCTTAATTTGCCTATGATTTTGTGATACCAGAGTATTTTCTGAACTTTAAAATTTGAAAAAAAAATCCTAATATAAATTTGTAATTTTGATTTTGTAATAACAGAGTTATTCCAAATTTCAAAATCCAGGTCATAAACATCATTCAAAGTGAATTTGTGATCAAGTAATATTAAAGAAAAAATCCGGATTTTAACATCTTTTTGAGTTTGTTGCGTAATTTCAGATGCATCAGGATTTTAAAATCCTATTTATAAAATTTATAATTGTGTGAATAGCATATGGAATGTATTGAAGAATCTATTCTTTGTCAACCCTTTTCTTGTTGGATATTAGAACATTTTAGACCCACAAAGTGAACAAACCTCACGATGGCCAAACCCACATTATGAGACCCTCCTCTCACCTTTATTATATATGCCGGCCACAAGTTAACGGCTACTTTCGTAAATGAGTTCGTTGAACTTGCAGGTGAGAATAATGATGAAGAGAAAAAGATCCCCCAAATCGCTACCTCCACCACCTTCAACCCCTCCAACACCCCAAACCCAATCCCGCCACTCCACCAACCTCTCCAAATCCCGCCTATGGATCCCTCTCAACCTAACCCGACAAGAGCTCTCACTACCCCTCACCTTCCCCACCGGTCAAACCTTCCGATGGAAAAACACCGCTCCTTTCCAATACACAGGCGTCGTCGGATCCCACCTCGTATCCCTCAAACACCTCCAAAACGGCGACGTTTGCTACTCCCTTCACTCCCAATCAAACGATGACGCCGAAACGGCATTGCTCGATTTCTTAAACGCAGACGTTTCTCTCGCTGACACGTGGGAGGTTTTCTCGGCTAATGATGAAAGATTTGCGGAATTAGCGCAACATTTGGGTGGTGCTAGGGTTTTGAGACAAGATCCGTTTGAGTGCTTGATTCAGTTCATGTGTTCTTCCAATAATCACATTAGTAGAATCACAAAAATGGTTGATTATGTTTCGTCTCTTGGGACTTATTTAGGTCACGTTGAAGGATTTGATTTTCACGCCTTCCCTACTCTTCACCAGCTTTCTTTGGTTTCTGAACAACAACTCAGAGACGCTGGTTTTGGTTACAGGTAGGTTAGGCTCGGTTCATTCGATAACTATAATTACTACTATTAGAGGGTTTTATTTGTATGTGAACATGAATGTGGTTGTTTGTGATTGATAGGGCTAAGTATATAGTTGGCACTGTAAATGCTTTGCAATCAAAACCTGAAGGTGGAGAAGAATGGCTTCATTCTCTTAGGAAATTGGATCTTCAAGATGTTATATCTCAACTTTCCATGTTACCTGGAGTGGGTCCTAAAGTGGCTGCTTGCATAGCTCTCTACTCCCTTGATCAACACCATGCCATTCCCGTTGATGTTCATGTCTGGCGGGTAAGCTACTTTCTTTTCATCACCAATGCTTCAAGTTCAAATCTGTCGCCGTCAATGACCATGTCAAGTCCTCTTGCTGTAATAGAACAGGGTGGGAAGATTTACTATCATGGGGAGTATATTTGAATGTATAAGAACTAAGAAAACCAATATGAGAATAAAGGAAGTAAGTGTTGTAGAGATGAGGATGTTGCATTGAATATGTGGTAAGACTGGACAAGATAATATTCGAAATGACAATATTAGAGTGTTGGGGGTAGCACCTACAGTAAAAAAAAGTTGGTGGAAAATAGACTTAGGTGGTTTGGGCATATAGAAAGAAGGCCTATAGGTTCTGAGATAAAAAGAGTAGATCAGTTGGAGAGCATGAAGACCTAGAAAAACTATTGGAGAAATTATTAAGAAAGATCTTGCGATTAACAATTTGAATAGGAGCATGGTTCCGGATAGAACATTATGGTGAAACTTATTCATGTAGCCAACCCCATTTAGTGAGATAAGGCTTGGTTGCTGTTGTTCTATAAGAACTAAGAAGACAAAGATGATAGCAAAAGGGTTGATTCTTGTCATCATTTCTGTGGGTGGGGTTTCATTGCAGATTTTGAATCTCCTTTGTTAATCAAGTTATTTTATATATGCATTACTGATTATTGCATCTGGTAGACTTTTATGGTTGGACTACTCTTTTGTTGGGAGTTATAATTTGGATTTATTATTTTCAAACTTGGGTAAGATTGCCCAAAAATATCTCTTACCTGAGCTTGCAGGTTCTAAGTTGACGCTGAAGCTCTGCAATCGTGTTGCAGAGGCATTTGTAACAAAATATGGTAAATATGCCGGCTGGGCTCAAGCTGTTTTATTTATTGCTGAGTTGCCTTCACAAAAGGCCATCCTACCCTTACATTTGAGGGCTACCAAACAGCCGAAGCCCACCAAGATAGAAAACAGTGAAGAAGAATCTGGTAAGAAAAACAATTTCAGTCTTTTAATCTTGACTTTGTAGATTAGGCATTCCACTATCTGAATGATATTTACTTTTTTCTTTTATCAATTAGAGTGAGATCTACAGGTGGTGTGAGTCTGGAGATATAAATGCTGGAGACTCAGGCGTAACACACTACGGTTAAGATTTTGTGAGATAGAATGTTGCAATATCACACTGCTGAGTGACGGGGATGTTTAAACTACTATATGCAGGTTCTTCTACTATGCATTATTGTTTACAGATCTTTCCACGACCTTCAATCATTGTTGACACGGGTGGACAATGAATTATCAGTTGAAGACATGGTCAAATTAAAGGTGGACAATGAACTAATTGCGGAGACATAGTCATTGCAGACATGGAAGATGAACTGTTGTCAGAATAAAAGTTAGAGATGGAAGTGTTGGTCATAGTCAATACTAACTTGATTCCGCCCTTACTATGATTCTCTGTTTTACTTCTTTTTTATTTGAGACTAATAGGGATCTTGGGTGACAGAGAGAAGATGCAAACAGAGATAAAGGGTGCGAGATCAGAGACAATTCACAGCCATTGATCCGTTGTTTTCTCCTTCGACAATTCATTGTTTGCATTGACCATGTCTTCTACCAATATTTCATCCACCACTGTTTCGACCATACATTTTTTGCATTTGATTTGTTTCAGATTAATCTGTTGTAATTGATATTCTGCACAATTCTTCTTTATCAGTAGAAAGATTTATTTTCCCATTTCTTGTTATATGACAAGATTTTTCTTTCCATTTAAATAAACACTTGGCATAATTGATTATGAACATCAATATTAGCTTCCTCAAATTACAAGACTTTTACCTTTGCTCTCTATACTCTTATATGTATGTGTAAACATGTTACCTCCGCGTGCATGTTCTTTTGTCTAATGAATGTTGGCATGCACTTCCTCTAGTTACATTGCATGGATGTATAAAATCGTTTACTTTCAATTTACACTAAGGATATTGTTTAAAAATTTATAAAATGAAATTTGTCTTGAAAATACAAGTTAAATAATTGTCAAAATAATAAATACATCATTTTCTATGCTAAAGTTTCCTTGTATGACTTCTTAAACAATGTGCTAAGGGCACTTGTTAGCATTTTCTTTAAATACATTACCTTGATTATGATCAAATGCTAATACTAAATACTACTATATTACAATTTAGTATTTGAGTGTTTCTCATTCATAATGTATAACTCCTATAAGCAGTTTAAGGATAACAATTATCATGTGCGTAGAGAATAATTCCCCATTCACATTGGCTGTCGATAAAAAGATTGGCTGTTGGCAAATAATAACTATATTGTCTCTTAATTTACTCACTTATATTTTAGAAACAACATCTAACTTGTTATCTTGAGGCGTACAAGACTATGCAAACATATATCTTTTCTTTAGCTATACCTCTGGCTATTTGCTTGTATGATAACTCTTTTTCAGTAACCTTGAAGCCATATAATGCTACAAATAATGATATATCAATTCTATGATACAATTTTTTTAAATATGACTGACAGGGCAGTCTTGTTTAACGTTTACTAATGATGTGTGATCTTTCAAATGGAGAGGATCTCAACTTGTGATGTATACTGTGTCTATAGTGATTCCTAAGGGGTTCCCAGTTTCTTCTTCTAGTATAACAAGTAGGTTCCCTGTAGACTTGAGGAAGGAACGAGGTATGTGGTACCTGAATAAAAATGATCAGTTAAAAGTAAATAAATGCTTGGCTTAATTATTTATATATCAGTGTAAAATATGAGTTTCAAACTAAAGAAAAATAGAAAACTATTCAATTATTTGTATAGGAAAAACGATGTACTGAAAGAAAAGTACACTATATCTTGGTGTATTTTGTAAAAAAATTATCTTGAGAAGTAGGAATTTGAGAAAAATTGTAGCACAGAAACATACCATTGTTGTGAAGGAGTCCCATTTGATGTGTGGAAAGATACCCAATATCGACCAATACCTTGATCATTAACCCAGGCGAGTCCCTTTCCCATGGAACCAAGGTTAAGCACAACAGGATCATTGCCCGCAGGTGCATCAAATGTGGTCTGTCACTCAACAGGTAAATCAAATATTAGTACATTGTTGTTTTTTTAATGAAAAAATATTAGTAATAAGTTGTTAAATAATATTGAATATAAATGTTGAGAGGCCGTGATGGTAAATAGTTTACGCCTTCATCGCCTTCCCAATCCTTAGAAAGGGTTGATACAAAATCATGGAACAAACGGAATATAATGATGATAAACTACCTGATACCATGTGAGTGGTTTAGTAGAGCTTTGAAAGTTTTCCCACTGAACTTTACTTAATCCATTGACTGTATAGATTTGCAATTTTTCTCCTAACAACCCAACCTTCATTTGAAAATTCAATATCAGTATGCAGTGGATGGAATTTTGTTTAAATGATTGCCATCAGAGCTGATGGTTCAAACACACTTCTAGTTGTTATACATTTTAAGCAGTGGATAATGATAGTTTATAGGAATAGATTAAGAGGTTTGCTCAGAGAGAATCACATTTAGCTGAAGCCTACTAAATCAAAGTCTCACTGTGGAGAGATAATCACCTGATATCCCCATGCGTAACTAGTTAAATCCCTTCCTTGAACATTCACTTTACGCAAACCAGCAACTCTTCGCTCTAGAAATGCTCCTGAGTTCTTTAGGGAAAAAAAACATTTTATGTAATCCATAATCCTTTTTTGGTTACGCGTTATCTAATATATATTTTGTGGTTTTCTTAGCTTGTTGATGATGAGTGAAAAATAAGACAACAATTGAGACAATTACCGGCAATCCGACTGTTGCACTAAGAATGGAAATGTTGTTCATCCCGTTTATTAGATCAACGCTTTCCTTCATTGCAACATTCAAATTGTCGTGATTCCCATGTGCAGAACCTAGAGACAAAAGAATGTATAAAGCCCAAATATTAACATCTCAAATTCTACTTTGAAATATAAATAAATTGAACAAGTGATGCAGAATGTATTGAATATGAAAGAAAAATGTGTTACTTTCTGAAGTAATGCTTGTGTCATAACCGAGTTGGTAAAAATATTGATATTGTTTTTTTTCTATACAAATATGTTTTCCTCCTATCCTAAGAATCATGATCCTTAGAAATGAGATTTAGGGCTTGCCTTTTAAAACTCCATTGATGAAAGAATGCAAAACATGTCCTTCGCTGTATATACTAAGAACAGATTGAGCATTAGGAGAGTTGTCATTAAGCCTGCACCATCATCAACATGTCAACAAACATCTTAGTACGAATGGAGTATTTCTGACACAGAAAGCATTCGTCAGTCAAGCTGGCATATAGAATACATGTTGCTATTTTACCTGAAAGTGTACCACATATAGTCCGATGTATCTTTTGCTGTGCTGATTTGATCTAATAATGTGTTTGCTCGTAATGAAGTATCGTCAAAATTAGGGATGACTTCTGTATACACTTTCCATTTTTCAGCCGAGTTGAACTGTATTTGTGTTTTTATTACTCTGGCATTGTTCTGTATACTCACCTACAAGAACATTGTTCTTTAGTCTAACTCATTGATGCAAAAGACGATTGTCAAAGTAAGACAGGTAAGAAAGAATACAAACTCTTGTTCCTTCAAATCAAACGATGAAGATAAAGTATGTATGTAATATTTGGTTTTACCTTGCCAGTATTGAAGACTACATTCTTGCAGCCTGGTAGAATACTAATTGATTTCCCGGGCAATTGATACGGAATATTTTGAAATTGGACTGTGACATCTCCAGGTCCACTATTTTCCAAGAAAGCGGCACATTCCGAGGAGCTTTTGAAAACATAAGCCTGAAGAAAAGAGGTGAGAAAATGATTAATTGATTAGAAACATAAGCTGTATATTATAGATTATTTTTTGTTTCCTTTTCTTTAAGTTGTACTAGTTAAAAGAAGTAAGGAAAATATGTCCAGAAATATTCATTTTGAATTACTTGTTGCTGCGAGCCTAAGCTCAATATTGTTTGAGTTCCATAAAGTAGAGGTTGTGAACATGACTTGACTGCAGCATGTAGGTCCTTAAGATGTCCCCATTTTGGTTGCTTAATCAAACCTGTGGTTACCTTAGCATAGTCAATCACATAATAATGGTTTTGTTATTTTGTAATTTTACTCAGATGGAGAAAGGAAAAAATCATACCATACTCGTCCAGTGGAGCTTCATCATAATAAGCGGTTGTTATGAAAGCGGAGGCCAATCTATCAAAATTGGTTCCTCCATGGTACTGCGTCAAATCCATCAGGTTAGTTACGAAGACAAATATAACACAAATCAAGCTAAGTTGAAAAAACAGATTAGAGAAAGAAAAAGCACAATTATAGAGTGATGATACCATGTAGTAATTGACATAACTTCCTTTCTTTGCAATGAACAAGGCCACGTTATATGCAATGTCTGAAGCTGATCTCAAGTATGGTTTTCCACCAAAGGCTTGATAGCTTCAAATTAATTTAAACGTCAAATCAATGGAATTAGTCTAGTAGGACACTTTGCTAATGAAATTCACACTTTAAGAAAAATTGTTTGTAAATTGCAATGAAAAAAGGCACAAGAACATACAAACTAGTCCAATTCTCTGTCCACAGTGAAGGCTTGTTAGGCGAGTTTGGTCCCTTAAATGTTGTTCCACATTGCATGCCATTGCACGTGTTGATCTGTAGATTGTATGCATCGTGCAGATTATATGCATAAGTTATTTATTACTTTGGTTTAAGTATAGTAAAAGGGTACATATATTTGATTTAAATTTGAATCAAACACATTCATTTATGTACTTATATTTAAGATTGGAGGGAACACTTTTTTAATTTGTGTGTAAAACTAACAATACATTTGAGACTAACCACTGGATCAGGAGCATTGTCTTGTTTACACATTACCCAAGGCACACCCGTTTGGAGTCCGACGGCCATTTGGGCGGCCCAATGAATATAGGCCAGTCCATTCTCTTGAAACGCCCTTTCGATGTTTCCATATTCATTCTCAATCTATATGGATTATAAGCA